AATAATTATAATAATAATAATAAATAAATAAAATAAATAGATAATAAATAAATAAATAAATAAAATAAAAATAGGAAAATTAAAATTAAAATTAGAGTAAAAAATAAATAAAATAAATAAAAATTTAAATAAATAAATGAATAAATAAATGAATAAACAAATAAATATATAAATATAATTTGACTCAGTTCCCAGGCATAGTTGAATAGGATTTCATGACAGTGCCGTCACTTATTTTAATCAATAACTGGACTTACATTTGTCTATATGAAAATTTATATGAATAAGTGACAAGTCTGAGAATAGTTTATGTATATTCTCAGTAGTCCAGTGATAGATTTCAATAAGTTTTCTTTACATACATTGTTAACTTTGAGCTGTTTGAATTAATAGTTTAATATGGAGGATGTCAGGAAACAATTCTAACCCTTATTAAAAAGACTATAAAGTCTGTTAGTGACATACAGTAATGATTTGAGATATTTCATTATTTACACACACACACACACACACACACACACACACACACACACACACACACACACACACACACACACACTCTCTCTCTCTCTCTCTCTCTCTCTCTCTCTCTCTGATTGGACTTCCAAAGTTTTAACAAGGACAACATCATGTCTGCATCAAAGGACTGCTGCAGGCCACTTTGAAAATTAACTACTAAGAATTAAATGATGATGCTATGAACACATTATCCCTTAATTTTTCATCAGAATATTCTCTACCATTTTGTCTGTGCTGATCACGAGTTAACTCGTTCCATGACACAGGGCTATGCTGGCCAAAATCTTTCCAAAATGGTTCAAGCTAGCCTAGGCTTGACAGGATCACAGCATATATGCCTTACTAGACAGATACACTCCACTATAGATACTTGACTAGCAAAGACCTATGCTGGAGAGAGCTGTTGAGGCAAGCAGCAACTTATTTGTCTATTTATTTATTTATTTATTTATTTTACATAATTGACTTAATATTTATTTCACTTCATTGTTTGTCTCTTCTTGCAAAGAATAAGGGTATGGTAAACAATACATTTGACAAACAACTCTTCTACAAAAAATTTTCTTATTGTACAGTAATTAACATTATTCTACACTGAGATGGCAAACTGACGATTCTGTCCAGCAAGTGTTGTTTTGTCCAGCATGGCCGTTAACTTTAATGATTCTGCCTTATACGCCTATGCTAACAAACCATTTTGGATGTTTCTTGGGTCAGCATAGCAAAGTTCACTCAGCATAGGAAAACATTCTGGAGAATATTCTAAAACTAATGGAAATAGCTCACTTCACCCGCAGCAGATGAACACAAAATGGAGGTACTCACTAAAATGTGCTACCAGTATTCGAACTTCGGAGACTTTTAGTAATGCATTAAAAAGTCTCAGAAATGATTCAGTCTGATAAATGGGCAAATACTGTAATTATTCATTAATTTCGAACAACATGAATGAACAGGTCCCCCCCCCCCTAAAATTTAAAAAAAAAAAAAATCTGTGTTATACATGAAATGCTACTGTAAAGGTTTTGATAAGTTCATCAGCTATACATCGCAAAGTAATTTCAACATTTTTTGTGAGTAACCAAAGTGACATTTCTTGGAGAAATGAAAAAGGAGAATAAATGAGGTGTTAGAAAATATAAGTAATAACCGTACGCGAAAAAAGATTTATAAACGAATCAGCAGATAGAGAGTCATCAGAAACGTCAGGAGAGACTGGAGAGGAAGGACATCACAAGATACCAAGCACCATATTGTCAAGATGATCAAGTTTTGCTTTATTGCTGCACTGCTCATCTTTGCTGGCTTCCCAGGTAGGTTGGGCTTGAAGTTAACAATATTAAAATTAAATGAGCTGAATGCAATAAAAATATTTTATTATAGTACTGTTATTCTAAGAGAATAATACGGAGATGCAAAATTAGCAATAAGTACTTGGAGACAACTCCAAAGTTCCAAAAAATTATACCTGAGCAGCTAATTTTTTTTTGAGATTTTTTCCATGTGATACATGCCTTTTCCAATGGTACGTTTATTAATTTAATTTTCAAAGAAGAGCCACCAAAAAGGTTTATTTGGCATCTTATGTGCTGGCTGGAAAATACCGAGAAGCATTCAGTTTTTTAAGGTTTAATCATGTACAGGATGGCAAGTAAGCAGCCACAAAGTTACCTTGAGAGAGTTTGAAGTGGCCTTAAGCCCCCTTTACACTGGATGGCGTCCTTTTTGCGTCCTGTAGTATGGCCCTGTTTGAGAGTAAAAAAAAAAAAAATCTTATGTGCTGACAACTGGCCAATCACTGAGCATTCATTCTGCAACTAAAGAATGCAGACAGGACGCCGTCCAGTGTAAAAGGAGTTTAAGTGGGAGAGAATTTTGAAGTGATCTTAGCAAGTGCAAAGCACATTCAGCTGAACCAGTTCAGGCCAGATGAAGAGTCAGCTGCTCTAATTATAAAATGAAAAAAAAAAAAAAAAAAAAACATTCACCAAGCTGTAAACTGAAAATTTTGTTATTTTATGCATGGTTTACTTATTAAATAGTTATTTATATGTTGAGGGTTTCAAGCTTTTGTATTTTTTTTTACAATTTAGTTGAAGTAAAATCACATACTTCCTGATAATGTCATTTACAATTATGGGGAGACATATAAGGAAGGTCTGCTTTCATGAAAAATGGTTATTTTTATTAAGAAGCTGGTTAAATCTGTCTATTTTATGCAGCCACCTAAAAGTTGCAGTGCAATATTATTATATAACTATTTTTCAAAGTCGTGAAACAGATTATACACATGTCCAAGCCTGCAGGCATCATGGCGTCGTTCTCTGTTTGTCTATCCAGTGTTTCAGAACAGAAAGTTGACCTAACTTTTAACATAAAAGATAACAAGGCAGATACATTTTTGGTCTTCACCGTTGCTAGTAAAGCAGGGGCAGATACAGAGATATTGTCTGACAGTTTTCCAAATTATCTTTGTAGATCCATCCTCCATTTTTGAGCATCTTCCAACAGAAAAAAAGGTGATACTCGTCAAACTTTAAAATCTGACTGTCTTCCAGCAGACCTAGAAGACGACCTCAATCTACCCCTGTCAAGCGTATATTGAAATTTTAAAAAATATTTGATCCTAGTCATGACTGACAAGTGTAATTCTGTGCTGTTGCTTACCTTAAAAATATTATCTTAAAATGTTATTTCCTAAAGTGCAGGTTAAATGTAACTGACCAACACAATTACTCATTTTGAGAGAATTTTCCAGGTAATACGAATATTCTACCATGCAGTAAATCTTCTACATAGTTGCTTTTTCCACCAGTATAATTATTTGGAACTTCAGAGTACATATTTATAAGGAATTTTTTAGGGGTTATTAAGAATATCCTTTGCCTTCGAAAATACCTCACAGTCATTTTTTTCAGCGATTCAGCTTATTTAACCCAAATAAGTAAAAACAAACAAAATGAATAAAAAAATTGATATAAATATTTTTCTTCTTCTTCAAATCACATACAGAGAGTACTAGTGAGTGCAGCCAAGATTCGGACTGCAGTTGCTCTTACTGTACCTACGGAGGCAACCCTCACTGTACCCAAACATGCACTGGAACATGCTCGTGTAGTGGGTGCGTCATTTAGACACTCTGGTGAGTTTTCACCTGCATCACACCTCCATAAGTCATAAACTAAATCTTGTTCTTCTTTTTTATCCTCGTTTCCAACCATTAACTATTTAAGTCTGGATCTTAAGCTTTTAATATTTAATACCACCATGGATGTGATTTGTATAGTTCATGAGGGATTTTTAAAAACTAATCAACAAAGGGATACTGTCAAAAGAGTGCACTAAAAAAATTGGGGGATGGAGGTGGGGTGAAATGCTCTTTAATTGTACCAATTCAGTTTTTAAGACCAAAACTGATCTAAATCACAGTGAGAAAGACTATACTAGTCTAGTAATTAGACTGACTTCCACTTAAACAGTTAACCAATCATCTCCCCTCATACATTCAGTCCAAATGTATTAATTGATTTGTTTTCAATATTAATTTTTTTATTTGTATATTTCAGATATGGCCCAACAAGACTTCCAAGCTAAACAGATCATGGGATGCTGTGCAAATTTTCATAATTTTTGCAATAGCTTGGAAAGAAAATCAATAATTAAAATTAAAAGATGAAAATGTATCTGAAACTGCTTTTGTTGATTTCCTCTTGAACTCTTTTACCTCAAGACAGAATAACAACTTACAGTTATCATTCGCCAAATTGGATCAAAACGTTATTTTGTCTCACTGTCAGCAATAACTTATCATCTTATTCAGGATCCACGAAATAAAAAAAAAAAATTTTTTTTTCAAAGTGTATGAAAGTTTTTGATATCCAGTTTGGGACAAACCAGAAAAATATTTTCAAGCTGTAACTTATAATCATCAATCTTGAAATAATGTAATGAGAAAGGAAGTTAAAATTGCCACTATATATTGGAGGGTGGGTACGTGCATATAAAATTTTTTTTTCAAAAAGGTGAATTAGAAAGTACTTACCATTTCTGTATCAATATTCAGGTCTTGTTGTGCTAAACTCTGGAATATTTACAAGCAACATGTTAAAAAAATTATTTCTGAGGCACAGAGTGCTAAGTTAATACCAAAACAAAGCAAGGTCGATAACTACAGTAAAAACTTGAAAACTCAGTCATTCTTGGAAAATTGAGTTTGAAGATGATTCTCTGCTGACAGTATTTTTCACTTTGAAAAACTTGCCAAACTTGAAAATGGGCCTCTCAATAGTTTTGAAAAGTTTGTCATCTACTATAGTATGGTCATGTCAGATTCGTGCATTTTAAGTTATTAATTAATTTTTAAGTAATGAAATTTTGAGGTTTTTACCATCTTATTTGAGTTTACTGTGTTCCATTGAATATCTAACCTTATGAAAAAAATGAAATAAAAAAAAACTGAAAAGTACTTAAGATGGCTGGCTTAATGGAAGTGAACTTCTGACATCATCCTTTCTTATTAAAACGAAGAAGGATAAAAAATCTGACTCAAAATCAAATGATTTTGAATTAATAAAAATGCTCTACTTTTTTATCAATTTACCTGAAATATCTGTTTATCAAACACTTGATTAAGTGGGGTAGCTTTCCCTGTGTGAGCATTGAGACCCGTCTTTCCCACTACAGCTACTACACAAACTTTCTGAGAGCTGGCAGAATGTCCTTGTCCTCGAGTTCTGTAATGGCAAAAGTAGTACTAAAATATAATCTAATGTTACTCAGTACAATACAATATAATACAATACAATGCAATACATCAAAATACAATGCAATTCATTACAAAACATTACAGTGCAGCGCAATGCGGAGGAAAAAAAAAAAAAAAAAACAATGCAAATTCATTTCAACTTTAATTCTAGCCATTGCAAATTCATTAGGGGATCAGTGACTTTTCAAAAACAACAGTATAGTACAGGTATTCTCAAGAATACCAAGCACAGGAGAACTGGCGCAGTGTGAATTGAAGTCCCATATTGGAATATAAAAACTTGGTGCCAACTGAAGTCCTATCTCCCACTAATACAAAATCACAGTGTGAACTGAAGTCCCATCTCCGAATATAAAATCTCTGAGTGAAATGAAGTCACATCTCGGAAAAGTTCTGAAACTGCTGACTGCCAAAGACCCCAACTTGCATTAAACAAAACTCTATTCTTACCATCTTCTTTTTTAATATAGCTAAGCACCCAGACCAAAGACCATATTCTTTTGAAAAAAAAAAAAAAAAAAAAAAGACTGCAAATTGATGTGAAATAGCAGTTATTAATATATCCAGAACTACACCATATCATACAGTTTGGAACGGTTATATAAGGCAAGCCCATACGTTGCTAGATATGACTGGTCCAAGTCGAAAAAAGAATGAGAAAAAACTATTTGTTCATTTGTCTGTGCATACTACTGTACTTGTTATGGTTAAAGTATTTTTCCCCCACTTATGATAGATGCATAACCAGTACAGACAGTACTGTCAGTAGACAACCAGATCACCCTTCGATTGACTAAAAAAAAAAAAAAAAAAAAATCCACACGACGTGCACCTCAGGTGTGATAGTAGAACATATTTAAGCACCTGGTACATGTGTGCTCAAGCATGAGTTTGAGTGCTAAGCATGCATCAGATTTAAAACGTGCAGTCTAGTCTGGACTAGCTTCAGTTAACTTTTACATTGGGTGGGAGAATTTTACAAATGATTCCGGAAAACCACAGTTGTCAACACCTCGAATGCAATCATAGTGATCTGAATCATGTGTTACTGGCTACAAATTAACTTTGATATATCGATTCAGAAAACCATACCCAATATATTGTAAATCTTGTGGGAAACAAAATTTTTCAAGTTTCCTGGGCGCAGCCATCTTGTTACTCTCAAACCCCATCAGAGATATTTTTCAATCAAGCAAAATTATGAGCCAGTAAGTCAAAGCATGCTTATAATATTCGAAGCCAATAATAGTGATGTAATATTCCATATAAACAATTCTACAATGTGTGCATAAGTAAAAACGACACATGCCAAAAATCAGATGTAAATATTAGAGCGCCATCTTTTGAGTAAAAAATATACTAAAGTTGTCAACAAACCAGCATGCGCGGACAAAGACTAAGCAGAAAGACGTGGACAAAGTGTACAAAGATTTCCAACTTATGTCCGTCAAATACTTGGGATTATCAAAGAGTCTCATTATAAGAACAAAGGATTGCATAGACACACGGTAAGTGTCCTATATTAAAATCATACGCGGTGTGGAAAACATTTTTGTTGTAGAGAAAAAGATGACGTTCTGTGTGCTATTTTTAGAAATCAGCTGTTTCAATGTTTGTATAATAGACCTGTACAACTTAACCTGTCTGACACTTGCGTTACCTGAATTTTAGAATATCTGCAAGGCAGGGTGTGCATACAGTCGAAATATTTCGTGTTCATTTAAAATGTTCGTGACAACGATGTCAATTAATTAAATACCACTTCCCACCTCTGTTGCAAATCCCTGACCTGTCAAATACAGTTCCAGTCACCTAACAAACAAACAAACAACAAAGGTCGCTACTATTGATTACTGTCCTGGTTAAGGACACATTTGCCCTCTAAGTATGTAGCTGAAAGTTTTTGCTGTGTTGAATTGTGTTGATTTAATTAAGCTACTATAGACTCTGGAAACAATTTAAACCGTGTACGTGTCTCTAACTTGATTGTCAAATTCAATAATGTGCTTTGAATTGCATAACAAAACGTTTACCATGGTCACAAGGGGATGGAGATTTGGTCTCTCAGCCTGAAACTCTTCCACCCAGTCTTTTAAAGCGATCTCAAAAATTCAAAGCATCCCCAGCCCTTTTACAGTACAAGTTTTGATATGAGGAAATTCATTCTCCCTATTAAAATTTTTAATGCCCCCCCTCCCCCAGACAAATTTGTCATTCCCCCTGACAAATACATATAAGAGTGCAATAACTTGGATTTATTCAGATGACATGTTTCATGTTTTTTGTCTGTGTCTTTTATATCTAAACCATGGACTTGCGTGTTCGACGTTACACTTTCTCTTTGTGTGTATACTGACACATCCGCAATTATAAAGATTTAACATGGTAGTCATGACAGAAAAGGAGGTTAATGTTCTTTCTCATGCAATTGCTGCAGTATGTAAGTAATCACTAGAATTTAAAAAAGATAAATGGCTTTAATTTCTTTTTTTTTTTTAAATTAATTGTGACATTTTCGTACCCGTAGCTGCCAGAAGGAAGAGATGATAAAGTCAAGTACCGGTAGAAGGCATGGATACAGTCAAATATGGAGAATGAAACTAATAAGTACATGACAGGTGCCCCCCCCCCATTCCCATCATAAAATACCCCCCCCCCCCAAAAAAAAAGCTCAAATTATCGTATGTATTCCATATATTTAAATTACTTAGTATTAGTATATATATATTATTTTTTGTTGTGTTTGTGTGTGTGTGTGTTGGGGGGGTGGGGGGGGGGGGGAGAAAAATTGGAAGGTGACCTTTGGTGCCCCCTTTCTTAATTGAAATCATAGATCTGCCATTGGGATAGCTATTTACCTGTAAGCGATATCACCTTGGTTCTACTAAAAATAACTGATAGAGACTAAACAAAATTGACTACTAGTAGTCTATGGCCAAAATGCTCTCTGGCATCTCTACCTGAAATTTATAGCTAAAATTACACTACAAATAGTTGTGATTACTTTAAATCAGTGGGAATATGCATTTGCAGATGGTTCGTTGTCCAGTTGTGATGGCCCATTTTATGGCTAATCCCCAATGAAAGTATCCTTCAAGGGAGATCGCTCTAACTCTGCAGAAACAATGGGACTCTCATTGGCATTGAATAAAATGCAGAAAAGGTGGTGATTATATGAGTACCTTGGAAACAAGAAAAGACATTTGAGTTATCTGTACCTCTCAAAAATAGACACAAAATGACAGAAGCATGGAGTGAATAATAATAATAATAATGATAATAATAGAGAGTTTCCGGTGCAGTTGGGATACGACGGCTAGATTGTTATGTATGTGCTAATGTATCCAGTAACGCGCTTCTCTCTTCGCGTTCCGGTAATGTTTCGGAATGCTGGCGCTCATTCCAATATAATAATAACAATATACGGCCCCGTAGCCATCTATTTCCAAGGGGGGGGGGGGGGATTCTTTTTTATGAAAAAGGAGACAAATATTACCCAAAAGTGCATTTTTTCCCGACAAAAATGGCGGTTCGGAAGAACCCCACGATCAACCCCCGACTACGTGCCTGATAAACCAAAACTAGCGGCTCCTCTCTGTTAAAAAGTCGAAATTTGCATGAACGTACACTTGAACTATTGTAAAAAAGTATATAAGTCATATAAATTAGCAAACATAACCTTTAATAACTATTTTCAATAATCTTCCGCACTGGCTAGATAGGAGCGCTTGTATTCTGCAGACTAGATGATTAGACTAATAATTAATTCATGCATAATATGTAATAAAAGAATTCTATACTTGAGTCGAAGTGTATAATAATAATAATAATAATAATTAGATCACACATACAATGTAAAAAAATAATTCTATACTTGAGTGTATCAGCAACAGAGCAGAGAAAATATTTACTATAGTAATGCCATGGAGTCAAGGCGTCAGTCATGGTTGTTGTAGGATTTTCAGTGTTGGCAACACGGTTTTTACTTTTATACATCACTTAAAATACATAGACCTTATATTATATGAAATGAATAACTAAGTGGCAGCTAGAAAGGTATCCAAAAATTTGCCAGGCATTTTTTTCAGCCAGTGGCAGTTAATCACTGACATTGAAAAAAATCTTTCTGTTCCACTTCTGTTAGTGAAGGAGTAACAAAAATAAATGCATTAGTGCTCTTGGGCATATATATATTTTTTCTCTTAAGATACAACAGGTGCATATGTTACGGACTGAAAAAAAAAATAATGGGCCAATTTCCAGGAACTGATGCCAGTTTGCACTCCATAATATAAATACTCACATTCCCAATACATGGGCTGGTCCAGGTTTTTACTACGGGGTGGGCACAAGGGTAAAATATAATGTTTGACCTGCCACAATTGGCAAAAATATAAATCCTAAAATCTGGGTTCAAGTCTCTTATATAGTCCCCCACCAAAGAAAACAAAAAATTGAAAAGGAAAGAAAAACTGGAAATTAAGGGGAATTGATGTTTACTGTCACGGTGGTTAGAAGATAGCTGCTAAAATATATAAATATTCATTTGATTCAATAAAAGTAATAATTATAGTAGAGTCAATAAAATTTTTATTAATAATTTGAATTTAACAGGTCACAAAATTTATAAACCATGATGGAAGTGGACCCTCAGTTAACCCCTCCGTCACCTTTGAAATCCCCAACCAGCAAGACAACTGGTGAATCCACGCTGAAGTACACTGCAAATCTCCACCACCAGGGGGCGTTCCAGATGATGCATCATCTCCAGAGGACAAAACAGATGTGCGATGTCATCCTCGATGTTGGCGATCTCAGTTTACATGTTCACAAGATTGTCTTGGCTTCCTGTAGTTCATATTTCCATGCCATGTTCACAAGTAAGTTTATAGAATAATTTGAATAAAAAAAATTGACTGAAGAGATCAATACAATGGAATTTTAATGTCGAGGGTTTCATTTGAATAAAGGGTAAATTGATGTGTAGAAAGTCGGGCAGGGGGATTGACAATATTTCATGACCCCTCTGACCTTGACTTCTGACCCACTGGTATGATATATGAGATTTGAATTGAAGATGTTGAAATATGTAAGGCTATCACTTATTTTAACATTGCATTCCCTTTGCAGAAGATACGGTAGAAAAAAGAAGATTTTGAAATGAATTTTATTCTATTTGTTCTTTTTGCAGATGACATGGTCGAAAAAGATTCCAAAAATGTCCGCCTGCATGATGTGGACCCCACCGCCATGGAGTTGCTGATCGAATTCATGTATACCTCAGAGATCACAGTCACAGAAAGTAATGTACAGGTATACTTAGTTGTTGACTGTCTCAGCTTGCTTGCTGTCCAGTAAACATCTAGTCATCTAGCTGCAAAGGGCCCATTAATTGCCCAAGTATAGATGGGACTGTCCCAGTTGATGTGGAACAGTCCCATGAATACTTCAGAAGTGCTGGTCACAGAAAATTATGTTACATACATTGCTTTGGTGATCAAGGGATAAAATGGGATAAATTGCAAAAATTTACAGGAAAATAAAATTCAAGAGTAAAATTCAATGTTCTTCTCTGAGGAAGCAATAGGAAAAATTTTGCTAATTAAAAGTAAAAAGCAATAGTTGAAATAATCTGTTTTGCAAATGCAAAAATTTACAAGAAAATCTAAAATTTTGCTGTATAAACATCTAACGCCTCATTCTGTGACTTCTGTCTCTTTTTCATTTTCAGATTTTATTGCCAGCTGCCAGTCTGCTCCAACTTCAGAGCGTACGCGAGGCGTGCTGCAAATTCCTCATCAAACAGCTACATCCAACCAATGTCCTGGGCATTAGGAATTTTGCCGACACACATTCATGCGAAGAGTTGCTGACACTTTCGCACACTTTTACCCTGCATAACTTTGTGGAAGTGTGCGAGACGGAGGAGTTTCTTCTTCTGCCATTTACTGAGGTTTGCTTGATACAAATAGATGAATAAAAATGATAAATTATAAATTAGTCAATTAATCAAAACAGAAAAGTAAAATTCAATGTTCTGCCCAAAGGAAGCAATAATATACTTTTTTTGCTAAAGAAAAAAGGCAATTGTTGAAATAATGTGATATAATGGTATAATCATTAACACAAAATTTTTTCTGCAAGATTCTCCAGTTTGTTAAAAAAAAAAAAGAAATTTGCCTAGGATCAGAAATAACATTTTGTTGTTAAGTAAAGGATTGATCAACTTGAAAAAATGGCCAAAATATGTGTGGTTTGTAAATTGGAAATTCAAAGTTTTAATGGCATGATTATAAATTAAAATAACTTGTTTCCTCTATATTTTATTGTTTTTAAAATTTGATAACCTCAGCTTAATGCTTGAAGGGTAATCCTTTTGTACTGGTGATTATTTGCATTTTTTCCTCCAGATTTGAACTGATTATTATTTGTATATCCTTCAGATTCTCCAGTTTGTCAAAAGTGAAGACTTGTGTATTGTGTCAGAAGAGCAGGTGTTCCGTAGCGTGGTCAAGTGGGTCAAACACGACTTAGATGCAAGAGGGCCGTATATAAGTCAGGTAAATGAATTTCTTTTAATTTATTATTTAAAATAAATAAATAAATAAACAATTGGGATATTTACAGTGGCCAGAACTGAGAATAAGAATTAAGCTTTTAAAGATTAAATTGAAATTATACACTGTGAATTTTTTCTATTGTTTGTGAAATTGTTCTATTGTGATTCTTTCAACAGGTGTTTGAAATTAGACAAATAATCACAGAGTCAGATATATCACTGAGTATTGAATTTAAGCTTCATGACATATTATGATTATTTTGATGTTATAGCTGTTATAAAAATGATAATAATATTTTAGCTATCTGTGATGTTATATCTAGACTTGTAAAGCCTCAAAGTTTGCTTTTATGTTATTGCAAACCTTATTCAGCACATTTTACTTTCAGCTTCTCAGTCATGTGAAGCTCCCTCTATTGTCGAGAGATTTTCTTATGAACAGCGTAGAGTCAGAAGAGTTTATACGGTCCAACAGCGAATGCAAGGATTTGTTACTGGAGGCCATGAAGTACCACTTGATGCCAAACCACAGAGATGGACTTCAAACACAGAGGACTAGGCTGAGACGGAGTAAAGACCTTAAGCCAGTTTTAGTAGCTGTGGGTGAGTCATGAAAAGGATTTTGAATCTAACAGATGTGCAATTTGCATGAATTAAATAACCTTTGTTTGGTATGCTTAAACAAATTGAAAATGATTGCTATAATATTGAAGTACACTATTTTGTATAATGAGATACAGAAATAAAAATACTAGTAATAAGACTGAAAAAAAAAATGGATGAACAGAGTTCACATATTTATGTATCATATTCCTCTTATTCATATGTAACAAATATTGATGCATTTTCTCCAAGGTGGTGGTAGCCTATTTTCGATCCACAGTGAGGTCGAGTTCTACGACACGATGACTGACACTTGGACCATAGTGGCCTCCATGTTGAGTAGGAGGGCGCGTGCGGGGGTGGTGTCCGTGAACAGAATGCTGTACGCCATAGGAGGGTACGATGGTGCCATGGACCTCTGCACTGCAGAGTGCTATAATCCTTTGGTAAACTCCTGGACTATGATAAGTTGTATGGGGACCAGGAGAAGCTGTTTAGGTAATTGTATATAAGTATATGGTCTGAATGGAATAAAATTTAGACCTTTGTTTTTAGTAAGATCACAAGTCTTGAAAACCTGATTATACAAACAGCACAAGGTCTGATAGAAGTTATCTAAGTGAAAATGGTATATATGGTGCATCTATCAAAGAGACCATTCCCACAGATATTTAGATCCATCTATCCCCCTGGGGAGTCTCACTAGATTGCTATCAGCTTAATCAGCTTAAATGTCTGTCCTACCTACTTAGGGGGTACGTAACTTTTGTGCTCACTCGGCTCACAGAAGCTGGCAGCAATTTAGGGTGAACCCCCAGGGGGTAAGGTCGATCCAGATGAATCGATCTTAATCTGTGGGAACCCTGTCATAGCCTGTAAAATTTTCAGTCTTACAGTTAATCTTCTTTGTTGCACAGGTGTGTGTGAGTGGAATAGCCTGGTGTATGCTGTGGGTGGGTACGACGGAGCCTCTTGCCTGAGCAATGCTGAACGTTACGACCCGCTGACCGAGCAGTGGACGTCCATAGCGGCCATGACATACAAGAGAAGATATCTGAAGCTCGTAGTATTAGGTATGCAGATAGAAAGTGGTCTTGTTGAAATTTGTTTCATATATTAAAACAGTTTTAATCAATAAATAAATGTGGAAATAGCCCCTTGGCTGTACTCCTGTCTTCTCTCTTTTAATCCTTCCATAATTCTAAACTCATGTGATCCAGCACTATCAGCAGTTTTTCTGCTTGCTTTCTCAATGTGCCAATCACTTGAGTAACCCAGCAACACTAAGCAGGGAGGAGCTCTCTTGAAGTGCACATGTACACTGCATTGTGCCAATCACTTGAGTAACCCAGCAACACAGTGAGATGGGAGGAGCTCTCTTGAAGTGCACATGTACACTACATTTTGCCAATCACTTGAGTAACCTAGCAACACAGTGAGCAGGGAGGAGCTACAAACATCGGTTAATCTTGTAGGTCATTTGACCTGCAATGGGGGAATTGCAAAAGGCTTACAAGGGGAGAGGGGGGGGGGGGTTTACAAAAAAGAGTATGTTAGAAATAAAGGTTAGTTTTCACCTCTCCAGATACATGATTTCATGTTTTATGAGTAAATGACTAGCAGAAAAACATCGATTCTGTATATTTTGTAAGTATGTTAAATTATAATTTTCCATGTTTTGAGTGAGTAAATCACTTGATTTGAAAAAAAAAATTATTTTATAATAATTGTCCTCATGTTCCAGACAATCATATCTATGCAGTGGGTGGATATGATGGCTGTTCACATCTTCCAAGTGTGGAGAAATACAACCCACATGTGAGTGTTATTCAGGCAAGAGGTTTCTGTATTTCAAATGTCTAGAGAACAGCTTTGAAGTTGTATCTATGTGAATGACCTAACTATATGTACCTGTTGTTCTGGTTCGAGATATCTGTTTTCAGAGACAAAAAAAGTTTCTGTTATTTTACTGCATTAGATGTCACCCAAAATGACTGAAAAGTTGAAAAGTTCAAGATACACATTGTGCTAGGCTGAGTTCTAGATATTTCTATTTTCCTCCTTCAGACAAACCGTTGGGTCACCATTCCAAACATGTTGAGTCGCCGTAGCAACTGCGGAGCTGCTGTGTTGGACAGGATGATTTACGTCTGCGGAGGAAATGACGGGTCCACGGTGCTGAGTAGCGTAGAGAGATACAGTCCACGTAGGGGAGTTTGGGAGACAGTAGCGCCAATGCATTCAAGAAGGTGGGTGTTGTTTGTAGAAATTTTGTTTGGTAGGGGAAAACTGCTGGGACATTGCGTTAGGTGAGACTGTCTGGAACATTGTGCTAGGTGAGACTTTCTTGAGTTTTTGTTTGGTGTCTGTAAATGTCACATCTTCGATGTTAAGTTTTCTTATTTTTTTTTCTCCAGGAGTACCCACGACGCCATAGTGATGGATGGAATGTTGTACGCTGTTGGAGGAAACGACGGTAGTTCGAGCCTTAACACCATAGAACGCTACGACCCTAAGCTAAACCGCTGGACGGTTATTCTTCCGATGAATCTACGACGGAGCGGCGTAGGGGCTGCAGTGGTCGAAATAACGAGTAATCTGCGCAAAAAACTACAGGGTACTGTTGGCACGTTTTAAAGAAAACTTCTGTGTTAGAGACTTAAGTATACATGTTTTGTGTGTGTAACGTCAAATACGGCGAACTTTACCCGACTGGCCGAATAGTCCGTGTGACAGAGTCGGACCTTCATTATATCCGTATAGGTCATGATTATGTGATGTAAGTGTTACAAAATCAAGGATGAGGAATCAGAGCCCTGTTCTACAAGGAATCTCTTGTGCATGATAACGGAATATGGAAGGGGAGGGGGAGAGGAGGTTAGGAGGGGGTGCAGGGGGTGGTTGGGAGGGGGTGCAGGGGGTGGGGGAGGGGCGGATTGAAGGGGGTGCCGGGGGGAGGGGAATACGGAAAGGAGGGGGACGAGGGGGCGGATTGGAGGGGTTGCCGGGGGAGGGGGATTGGGAAAGGAGGGGTGGAGGGGGACGCATTGGAGGGGGTGCCGGGGGTGATTGAAAGGGTGAATTGGAGGGGGGGAGGAGGAGGGGCATCGGCAGATTGAAAGGGGTGCTGACCCTTGGCTACATGTATGCTTACGTGGTTTACTTAGGAAAGTGATGAATGCAGTTGCGATTCCAAAGGAATGTGATGTTGTTATGATGTAACGTGCAATATATGTTTAATTATGCTACAGCAATGTTTCATGTTATTTACAAATATATGTTGTATTTTGAGTAGCAATTAACTGCCATTATATGAATGAACACAATATAACACCCTGACTTTTAGTCTTACACAAGATTTATAGAATAAATTAAAAGGTTTGAAATAAAATATAGATTAAAAGATGGGTTCGTTTTTATTGTGTGTCTGTGCATGCCAGGTACAGCAGTGTCAGATTCAGGGGGAGGGACAGCGGGCAAGTTCTCTCATCCCAATTAGATTCGGAGTTATCCCTTCAACCTTCTAAAAATAAGGGATTGTTTCTGTGCGCTACACGTATAAAATTGTCCTCCCCTACCATGCTATATTTACCAAGCGGATCGAAGCAAATAGGGAACGGATATTGCCGAGCCAATCGAGGCAGGCTACTGCAGCGCCCCCCCAGCAAAAAACAGTGTTTTATAACTGTGTTTAGACTTGTGGTGTATGGATTACACAATTGAGGTCGAACGAGTAGAATAATCAACGTTGCTGACGGTCGATCTCATTGCAACTCTACAATGATAGGCAATTCTAATTTTATTGCTACTCACGGAACGATTTCGTGATTGTTCTGTATTTGCTCGAAGCTTTTTAATATTATATCAAAACGTCCACGGGGATAAAAAGCGAAATACATTGTATGTGACTGGGCCTCGAGGTGTATAGTACTAGGTTTATGAGTGCATTTGAATATTTCTAGATTTCATGATTGTATTTGAATATAACTAGATTTTGTCAGTGCATTAAAAGCAATTATAAAGCAAGATGAATTAAAAAAGACTACGACTGATCCAAAATACTACGGTGGGCATGGCAGTACCGTTGTCACAATAATGGTAGTCCTCAGTGAACAGTAGTCTGTTCCCCATGCCTTCTTTAATCATCCGTCCCTTATACTAGCCTAGTGGCGGATTTACAGTGGTGGGGGAGGGGGGGGGTCCTGACCCCCCCTTCGATTTCTGGTCCCCTCTTGATATTAGAATTTTGACTAGATAAATCATAGTTCTAAACCGTACCAAATGGTATCATTCGCTTTCAGCGGGCCCCCATCCCCACGGCTTCGCATCCATTGACCCCCCCTTCAAATAATCCTGGATCCGCCCCTGTTACTACAATACTCTGACTAACTTTAACCTGTTCTAATCATATGGGAGCCCGGGCTTTCATCTCTAGGACTGCTAATCCTGTCACACCAGGATCCAATATGGTGGCTCGATGGAACCACGCTGGTTTTTACGGGTGAACCTGGATATTTCAAATTTGTTATTTTTCCGTGGTGGGCTTGAGCAGATGTGTTGACTTGTAGGAGGTAGTTGTTACGTAGGGTAGTCGACAGATTATGAGTGGAAGGTGATGGATCAATACAAGCTGGGGGTTTCTTTTGAACCAACGGGTAAAGCCATTGGTTTGTTTTATTGTGAGAAAACGTCTCCATTGTAATCGTCTCATCTAGAAACATGAAAAACTGTTCACTCTAATAACGCACCAGCCTTTAAACCTTTTCAGGGGGTATTAAAAGTAAGTGAACACACAAATTAAAAAAAATCTATTGCGGACAAAAAGTATACCCTACGTACAAAACGATTTCCAGAAAATTGAATGGATTAAATCCAAATGAATTATACTCAGTCGGTTACATTATACAGAATCTAGTCCTGACCTATACGAAAGCTCTAACGGGAAAAATATATTTAATCACCTAGTAAAAATGTGCCATTTGTTAACCCTCAGTTGTGAGCCATGAATAATCAGACACATCGCTCCTAGCTGGGTTTTTTTTTTACAAAGGAACGTGTTATAAAGGTTGATATAAAACCGCCGCCAGGTAAAAATTAGCGTTCTGGTAACTTCATTGTAAGGCCTGTTTGGGGTTTTGTTGATGCAAAATACATGCAATACGTCGGTAGGATCTCAAACGTTACCTATTTCAATATATACAGAGGTCTGCAACACGTTTAATCATTGACACAGAGGAATGGCCCTTTTCTCAAATAGAAGAAGTTTCCCATCATGGAAGACCTTGTTTTCGGTTGGTGCCCTTGTTGCAATATTGTTGACAGCGGCGTATTGGTACCGAACCTTCCAGGAGGTGACACGCGGCAAGGTAAAGCTCTCTGCCTTTTGTTGACAAATTACAGATAGCAAGCCGCCATTGGCCCCACGTCGGCAAGCCACTCTGTTGATTTTGGCTCTTTGTCGTTTGCCCAACCATGAAAAAAGAACCTACGTTTCCCATTGAAAAGGTCGAGATAGAAAATATACAAATTATTAATAACTTCCTTATTTCAGATTGTTGCAGAGGTGTCGAAACAGACCACGGTTGGCAATATCACTATGGCTGAATATGCTTTGAAATTAACCTGTGGCCAGGTCTGTGACTACAATATACAGAAGAGGGAAGGAGATGCTTTTCTGAAAAAGGAATTTAACTGTCACTCTCTCCTCGTGAGAATGAAGGTACCTCCTGGAAAAGTGTACGACCCTCCTCTACGAACACCACCACCGGGCCTCATGTCCGCGTTTACTCAAAATGGCGCACTACAGCTAAAGCATTTCTACTTTAAGTATGCCAAGAAGGCCTTCCAGACGAGTTTTAGTAGTAAATTAATGGCCAACATGATCGATATGGACAAACGCAATGTGATGTTGGGTTCCTATGAGTATATGAGTGCAGGGTTCAAGCACGTTTTGAAGGCGTTTGAGAATGAACTGAAAGGGAAACGCGTTACGGTTATTGGGACTCAGGTACCATGGGTAGAAGTCATGCTCTTGAATACCGGAGTGACCAATGTGACCGCTGTTGATTATAATGAAATAAACATAGAACATCCGAGTATCTCTTTTAAATTGGTGACACAGTTGGCTGAGGAACATATCAAGAAGGAAAACAAGCAACTGGACGTTGTAGTATCTTTTTCCTCCATTGAACACGCCGGGCTGGGGCGTTATGGCGACCCTCTTAACCCATACGGCGATCTCGAAGCTGCGGCACAAGTATGGTGCATGCTGATACCCGGCGGACTATTTTTCCTCGGAGTTCCTGCCGAGTGCGGGAAGGAGAAAGGAACGCTGGTTTTTAATGGCCATCGCATATACGGTGAAGCTAGGCTACAGCATCTGACGGCTAACTTCATTCAGCTGCAGCGAATAATTGTTGGCGATCACGCCATTATGGTTTTGAGGAAACCACTGGCAAATTGATATTGGTTTAGATTTCATAAATTGATTGTCATGGTAAAGCCAATTAAAAGATCCAGCTCTAAGACCTCAAAGAGTCATCTTATATATATATATATATATATATATATATATATATATATATATATATATATATATATATATATATACTTTAGCTCAATAACAACTTTTTTCTCAACTAAAAGCAGTTAAACAGAAACCTGGCTGTACTCATTTGATATGTAATGTCTTAAAATTGTGGCTGGTGCGTTTTATTGTTTTCCAATATAGGAAAGGGTCTGATATCATTGTGGTTATTTTTTCTTTTGTGGTAATATTTTGTGCATCACTTTTTAAAAGTCAATTCAACAATAAAGCTGTACGACCTCAAAAAGTCATGATAGGCCCCATTCAGAATAGGGGACTAATTAGTCCGAGGGTCAAATGTGGCGACCCACTACAAAGCTTGCTGTCTAACCCGCTGATAGACCTGAATAGACATCCCGTGGCGAAGTATTCAATTGGGTCGGTCATATATGACTACTTAGTCCCCTATTCTGAATGGGGCCTTATATATACTATAGTTCAATAACAGCTTTTCTCTCAACTGTAAGCAGTAAATAAGAAAACTCGCTGTACCTAAATTATGTTATTAATATTAAAAATTGTAGGTGGAGTTTTTTTTAATCATTTTCCATCATTGCTTCTGTGCAGGTATGATTTATTTGATCAGCATTTTTAGCTCTAATTCTATTCGGACGTCTACGTTACTGGAAGGAAGTCAATGCATAGACCAATGTAAACATTCTGGCAGATCAGAGATCTTTCCAAAATAACAAATAGAGCTTTTAACTCCGGTTCATTCATTAACAATGAAGAAGATACTATCCGCAAAACTTAACGTTTTATTATTTGAAAAAAAAGAACAGGTCATTGCCAGGATTAGAGACATTATTGTGGAATAGAGCAGAGCGTTAAATGTATTATCTTATTTTATTACCTATTTTTGAAAGAAATACCCGGACTACTACAATAGTGTTCTTTTCTAAACAAAATTTATCGAGGATAATATTTGAAGAAGGCATGTCTGAGTCTTTTTATGAACAGAAACAGGTGTGTCTGTACATATAGCCGACACTTGCGTCTGTCGCGTCTGTCGATCGTCGCCGTCGTCGTCTTGCACCTTAAGAGATAACAAGATAACTGGAAAAACGTGTTACCTTCTGTCTTCAAACTTATGAAATTGATGAATATTCATAAACCCGCACGAAAACGAAGTAGATACTCCAGCGCAGTAGACTACTGCAATCATACTGCAAACATGCTTCAAATCTGCTTCGATTGGGGAGCTAATTAGAATATTTGAAACATGCTTCTATTATGCTGCTAATCTACTGCATTAATGCTCCTCCTCTGTACAACCCTATGTAATTTTTGAAGTAGAATTGCAGTAGGCTATGCTGCATTTCTACTGCAAATATGCTCCACACCACTACTGCGTTAATGCTTCTTTGCTACTTCGATACTACTGCATTTTCTTGCGGGAATGCAGGTCGATTTCGAAAATCATCGTAATGTGGCCATGTTTTCAAAAGTAACAGTATGCTTTTTTTCGCTTTTTTCAGCATATACTCAATACTGATAGCACATTTCAAGGAAAGCCGATAGGCCTATTGTCTTGAAACTCACAGGAATGATCAATCTTACTGAAATACAGGTCGAGTTCGAAAATCAGCATGATTGAAGCGTTTTTTATTGTATTAAATCAACACAAAGATAAATGCAATATTGAATAATAAGACGCTGGAATACCTCAAAGGGTTACAATATTCTTGAGCATAATGTATTATTGTATCAGAATTGACAGTAGCCTTCTTTGTGCATCATTATTTTTTGCTTTTTGTCCTCGTTTTATTCCAAATTTACTGTCCACGGCAGTTTGAATAGGAAGATTTAGGCAAGTTGTCCAAAAAAAATCTGCAGGCAATTTCAAAGGCGACTCGGCGGTTCCTATCGCAGCATGGCTTGCACTCGTTGACGTGGTGGCAGTTGTAAACCTGGGAGAATAAACAATCGGAATATTTTAGAGACTGCATAAAACGTTGAAACTCAGTGTCAGGAGTCTGTGGAAATTCCGCTTCCTCGGGCCAGTTTTACAACTGTAAAGATTGTCTTTATTCTGATGCAGATTTTTAAAATCAGTTGTGATTCGAGATTAATATGACGAGGTCTAAGAAAGTGGTAGTGTTTGTCTTTTTACCATGACGAATGAAATTCACAAGTCTCTCTATATAAAAGTGTCTTTAACACAAGAAACTAAAGGACTCAAAAACCCGTTTCACTGAAAAAGTCTCTTGTATATATTTATTGTCTTTGTAACGATTGGGAAATGTTAAATTAGGAAAATTATTAGATTTTTGCTGTACATGTATAATGGTCTAACGCTGATTGTGTGCCTCCAAGTTCTTTCGTTAAACTGCGCTCTTGTTAACCTACCTGCTGTCTCTTGCTACAGTCTGGAACAATCTTTCCTTCCTTGACAGAAGTCTGGCACATGACGATGAATTGGCAATGGCGGGTCTGGACAGCACACTCTGGCTTCATGCATATGTTGCATGGATCACCTTCGACAATAGCAACAGTTGGGGCTTCTCTCTTCCTGCGGCTGCCGTCTGCAATCAAAATTGAGAAAGAATTAAATTAGATTTGCATGTTTGAGTTTTGTTGCAGGCATCACTTTCAGTGATGGTCACCCCACTACGTATGTTCTGAATAAAAATGCACATGCTTCTAGTAAAGATGCGGAGATTATCTACCGAAAAAAGGCAACCCTGCCTAATTGTGTTTTCATTTCCTCTGTGCAGTGTCATCGGTATTAAAACTCCTTTTTGGATATCAAAATAACTATAAACTGTTAAGTTTTTACAAAAATAAACCAGTTTTCCTTACTTATTTCACCAGTGACATGTCCTACTTTTTCGTCAGCCCTTATGCTCTCCATCATCTTCTTAGCTCTGAAGGTGGCGAAGTTCTTGCACTTGGGGATAAGATCCTCTGGCAGGAGGCTCTCTGGTTTCTGTGGGGTTCCCTCAATGTTGTAGTCCCTGGTCTGAATGCTGGTAACTGGCATATCTCCCTAAAAAGGAAAGAAACCGAAAATTCAAACACCTGATTTCTAAATGCTTAGAATTCTGGGTTATTTTCACCACGGGAATATTTTTCTTTATGAGCATTTTATTTTTTTCAAAACTACGTAGTGACACAACGGAGAGATGCAATAATTTGCTGCATGTGTAGATTTTAAGTAGAGATGACACGCCAAGCAAACACAGAACGTTATTAGAGCGTTACCGTAACGTTGTGGTAACGCTCTGATAACGTTCTTATAACGTTCTGTGTCTGCTGGGCATGTTATATATGTATCCTCCGCTTGTACAAAAGCTATGCTGGTTTGGGGTACAGTGGGTCATTTTGAAATCTGAGAACCCCTTTCTCTTATCCAAGTACAGTTTAACAAGCGAAATAGACAAAAACAAGCTACTGTGCAATCCCATTGCTTTATAAAAATGTTATCTTCGTCTACCACTTCACATTTGCCAAATGTTATTTGTTAACCTTTGCCCTCCCTTCATTAGCAAAATCCTGGAACTGTAATTCTTAATTTTCTGAAAGAAGGACTTTCATAAGTCTTTGCGCTTGTTCTCTAAAGTGACAAGGTTTGCTTTTCTTAGGGCATCAACACGAGATAAACCAGGAATTATAATATTTAAAAACTTCAGGAATTTTTACATATAAACTGTTAATACGATCTTAATGAAAATCAAAAGATTTCACCCTAGAAGTATTACAAATGTGCAAAAAAGTGTAACATAAAATCACAGATTGTGGCCTCTAACGTGAAACGACGACGTGACCACAAACGTGCATACCAATATACTTGTAATAAATAAATAAATAAATGAATAAATAAACCTACGTCCTTCTCAGCCTCCCTTAGGGCGGTGATGGTGGTGTCTGGATCCTGGACCTCGGTCTTGTCAAGAGAAACCACAAAGCAAGCCTTCTGCTTGGGGAAGATCATCACAGTCAGGTTCTGAAAAGAGTTAAAATAGGCAAGTTTGTAAGCAAAAGAATTTCATCACTTTGTTATCCCTTGAATTGACAATGATATGTTCTTCGAATTTACCTAGGCATGGTTCTTGTTAGATTATGACAATTGGAGTCATAATTTAAGAGTCACTATTTGAAGTTTGAAGTATTGCCGTAAAACACATTTGCAGTTTAACAATAAATAAAAAAATATTATTCTCTTAGAGTATATTTTAGAAACAATACAAGTAAAAATGTGAGTACTTATTCATTTATAACTTACACAGTCATCATTGTTATTACTTTGGGTTCAGTGAACTCTAAATAAATAAATTCAACTTACGTTCTTGAAGTCATGGATGAATTCGGACTCGTTCACATGGTTCTGTTGAGGGACGTAGTAACTGACCAGTTTCCTGCCCTGGTCAACCTTGACCTTTTTCTGGACCAAGACGCCTTCCTCATGAGCGTGAACAATGAAATGCTGACGGAAAAAGTATTTATTTCATTGTACATGTTCTTGAAGCATTTGCAGAAATAGGAAAGGCATTGAGGGTAGAGCTTAAGTGTGCTTGCTTAAGAACAACGAGACCGATTTTCTTTGACATTGCTTATAGAACTACCTGTATGACTGGCGCCATATAACAGCTAAATCTCGCGTGATATTTTGTTTACATTCATGCCATATCTGTATGTATCTGTAATAAGGTAATTCACGCAGTTGGATTTCCATTTGCAAGTGCGTAACTACGAGCTTAGTATAGCTGACACCCGAAAGAGGGCAGGAACGTCTCGATGGTGATTAAGGCTCAGTCACAATGTCGGCGATCTGTCGGGGATTAGTTTTGGCCGGGGGTCGTCGTAGAAAATAAAGAATCCTTGAACAATCCTAGCAATAATCCTAATAAAAGTGGAGCAGTCACATTGTCTGAGATTTTTTCAAGGATTTTGACCCGGTTTTGTCGAAAAATCGTGGGATTAGCCTCATGCAATCAGAGGCGATCGGAGACGATATCTGCGAGCGTCTTTTCTTGTAATTCCCCCCCCCCCCTCCCTTTTCTCAAACTTTTAGCGATCCGGTCTGAGGCGCCCTTTTATACACGGCGATTTACTACGATTCCACCGTATGATTGGTCGGAGACGATCTCATAAAGCTTACGAATCGTCGCACGGCGCCTCCGATTCAGTCGGAGGGCGCCGGAGACTACTCGCAGATATTGAATCTCAACCTGATTTTTCAATCCCACACAGAATCTTACGACTAGTCTCAGATTATTCGGAGGACGCCTCCGATTAATCGGAGGGCATCGTAGGTCATCGGAGATTGTGTCTGGGATGCCCAAAATGGGTGAAAAATCTTGCGAGCAATCTTAAAATTTTAAGTTCAAAGTTGGGGACCGCGACGGGTGTGGCGATGTCTAAAAAATCTGCGACAACCCGCAGGCGTCCGGAGAGCGCCTCCGACGGGTGCAAAATCGTGAGATCTGTCTCAAGATTTTGTTAACATTTCCCGGGTTTTACCCATCCCCGACGCATCGCAACTGATTTGTGACTGAGCCTTTACTCACTTGCTTTCCAACGACTCGTTTCACTTTCATGGGTTTACTCTGCTTGTGCGGTGGTGTCACCGCGAACGCTGCGAAGACGCAAAGAGCAAGGACGATCAGAGACTTCATCTGAAAATAAGGGAGAGAGTGTCTGTATAATACACTCTTGCTACAAATGATGGAATATTTAAAAAGATATGGATATATTCATTATTTCAAAGTTCACTGTGATAATTATCACAAAACCTTTTATCTAGCACGTGTGACAGGAATGGAAATCCTAGAAATGGAAGTCCCTTATGTTCCATATGATTAGAATAAATTAGTATAAGTCGGAGTATTGGGATCAGAACATGCGAATGTCACCTGTACAAAGTAATGGGGGCGGCCTACGGTTTCTAGTTAACAACCAATCCTGTCACACCGGATGTAGCATGTACCAATAAACAATTTTCAAGTTACATCAGTCTAAAAAAAATTATTTAAATATGCAAGTCAATTGCTTAGAGTTCTGCTCTCTGTATAACAGGTTTGAATTATCACTTGGACACTTGTGACGCAGTCCATGGTGTTTGCCGTTGGAAATAAATTTTGTTCAGCACACTTGAAGGGCGGAAATGCCTCGTCTTTATGCCCGAAGAACTCCATGTTTCATTTCAAGTTCGGGGAAGATTGACGTATGTGATTTTAGACCCTGAGGTCAGTACCGTTGTCCATGGTATTGGTTCTGTCAAACTTATGCTTATGGAGGTCGAACCAATGGGTGTACTTCAGAGAAAGCATAGCTGCAGACGTACACATGCAAGCTCTGGTGTCATATGTTGTCATATGCTGCAGCCCATTTTGGTCGTAAGGCTCTGTTGCAACCTGACAATGCTCCAGCTGATCGTGCTCGCAGAACACAACAAATTGCTTAAAGTTCTTCCGCTTATTCTCCTGATTTGAATCCCATAGAGCACTGCTGTGAGGAGGAGAAAGGTCCAGCTGACTACACCTGATAAGCTGAGTAAGGCTTGTGAAGAGAGGTGGGTTTAAATCAGCAAACGCTTTATCAAGAAGCTGCCAAAATTGGTTGATTCAGAGATGACGGCCCATCGTTTCGTTATCTAGTTACGAGAGGTACTTGCCTGTTCACTACATGTACAAGCACACAGTCATCAAACATCAAAAGAAAATAATAAAATAACGTTATTCCAAGAAAGAATTACGCGGCGAATTTTCAAAAAAAAAAAAAAAAAAAATGTATATTACTTCGATGACTGGAGTACTGGTGTTTCGAAATGGCCAAATTGTTAAGGTGGGTAGAAAATCGGTATAGTTGAACTATCTCGTTTTCTTCAGCCCATTATAATGTCCAAATATGAACATGAGTATGTGGGAATATTTAGTGTCTAAAAGCTCCGACGACAAAAAAGTTTCCTACCTTGGCACTTCGTTAAAAATCTTCTTAGTTCACACTTGCAGTTGGGAATCAAAGTTGATATTGACGTGGATTGAATGCAGAAGGTTTTAATATTTTTGATAAAGAAGAACTTTTCAACCAATTACGAGTGAGTCCGGGATTCAACTCCAAGGTGCGAAAACATGATAAAATGTGGTTGGCAAGACATGTTGTCAACCCTCATTTGATTAAAAACGTTCTGTAGCCGCAAGTTTCCGTGTTTTGATCAAATGAAAAGAGTGGGATGGTTGAAAGTGGTCGGGAAATACGACACTTGGGCTAAGGCTAGAGTTCATCATCTTGTTGTTTTTCTATTACAAAACCTTAAAGAGATAATACAGGGTAACTCTTCGTATGAGATCTATATTGCACAATAAAAAACATTGTGAACAACTCATAGAAATATAATATATTCTGTTATAGCTATTATTGTGATATTTGAGCTTGTCTTTAGACCACGTGACCTCCATAGATGGCCATACTCTGTTATAATCTCTTAAGAGATTATAACAAAAAAAAAAAAAAAAAAAAAACCTTTTTAGAAACAAACCAGGGACTAACTTTGAATGTAAAAATGGATTCATTAACCATTGGTAAGTATGGGAAAATTGTTGTTTACTCCAGGAAAATTCATTTATTTGGCCAAAACGAACAATTGTTATCCCTTTAATCAATGTCCTGTGGGATACATGTATGTAGGTAATTGGTGTTCTTTGACCACCGGGTTTCTTGTAGTCTAGTTGGTTACAAATTGAAAAAAGAAAATTAGTTTGAAAGTCATGAAATTTTGGATTTTTTTGCGTCCCCCTTTCTAAGAACGATTACACAATTTCGAGTTACAAGTATATATAGGATTGGTGCCTTTCGTTCATGTAGATACGTATAACAAACTAAAAACTTTTGAGCGGGTTTATAGGTTGAAAAGTCATCAGTTTGATTTTTGATTTTTTTGGCGGTCCAACGTGAATTAATAAAATGAAGAAGACACTGTCTGCAAAACCTATACACGTTTTATTGTTTGAAAAGAAATGGTCAAAATCAGGAATGATGACATTATTGTGCAATTCAGTAGACCGCTAACGATGTATTATCACATTCATTGGCTTATTTTGAAAGTAATGTCCAGATAACTACCGTAGTGTTTCTTTCCTAAACAATTAAGATTAATCGAACAATATTTGAAGAAAAGTACGTCTCAGTCTTTTATCATTTTTTTTTTTTTTTTGGGGGGGGGGGGGTCCAAATTTACTGTCCACGGCAGTTTGGATAGGAAGATTTGGCCTTGTTTGCCATCATTTTGCTGCAGACGATGTTTCCGCCGGGATATCCGATCTCTGGCATTGGCGGAAAATACACCTGGTGGTTCATGTCGCAGCATGGCTTACACTGGTTGACGTTGTAGAACTTGTGAACCTGGTAAGATAAACAATGGGAATAGTTTCTATAGAATGCATAAAATGTTGAAACTTATCTTGGAACTTATCAGTGCCATGAGACTGTGGATATTCTGTACTCTAAAGCGTTTAAAATTAACACCTCTAGGTGCTCCGTTTGTGTTTATTTTAATAATAATTTTGGACAGCGCCCTCCATTTAAAACAGTTTCCGTTTTTTCGCAACGAATGAAATTCACCAGTATCTATCTCAAAGAGTGACTCAAACCACTAGATACTTGGAACTTCAAAATCGTGTTTCTTTGAGAAGTTTTTTTAGATACTTTAATGATTAAGGGACAAATGTTGCAATTTCCAGAAAAAAATATAACATTTCTGCAATGCAAGTGCCCTAAAGACTGAACATGTGCCTTTAAATTCTTTACATAAAGAAAAAACGTCATTTTATCCTACCTTCTTGTTTTTGCTGCAGTCTTCCACGATCTCGCCAAATTTGTTGGTGACATACTGGCAAATGACGGTGAACTGGCAATGGCGGGTCTGGACAATACACTCTGGCTTCATGCACATGTTGCAGGAATCACCTTCGATGACAGGGAAAGCGGGGATTTCTCTCTTCTTACGGCTGCCGTCTGCAAATTGAACTGACAGAAAATAAAACCACAGACCATGAATACATGTGTATGATTTGATGCAGGATACACTTTCAGCAATACTCACCTTACAGCTGCCGACAAAATAACGGTACATAAATACTAAATAAAAAAAGTTTTTTTAAATGGCGGGGATTTCCTACAGGAAACAAGCAGCCCGCGGGGCCGATCTAATGTGTTTTCCATACGTAATTTTCTCTGTGCAGTGTCATCGGTATTAAAACTCCTTTTGGATATCAAAATAAATATATAAATATAAACTGTTTGTTTCCCACAAAAAATTATTTTGCTGATTTCACCGGTGATATGTCCTACCTTTTTTGTCAACACTGAAGCTCTCCGTCATTTTCTTAGCTCTGAAGGTGGCAAAGTTCCTGCACTTGGGGATGAGATCATCTGGCAAGAGGCTCTCTGGTTTCTGTGGGGCTCCCTCAATACGGTAGTCGCTGGTCTGAATGCCGGCAACTGGCATATCTCCCTGAAGAGGACAGAAACGGAATATTGAAAGTCCTGATTTCTAAACGCTTAGAATGCCGGGTTATTTTCACCACGGGAATATTTCCTTAATTAGCATTTTAATTTTTTGGTTTTTCAAATCTACATATAGTGACTCCACAAAGAGAGGCAATAATATGCGGCATTTGTAAATTTTAAGTTGAGATTACACGCCAAGCAAACACAGAACGTTATTAAAACGTTACCGTAACGTTGTGGTAACGTTTTGATAACGTTCTTATAACGATCTGTGTATGCTGGGCAGATGTTCATGTTATTTATAACAATGCATCCTCCACATGTACAAAAGGAATGCTGGTTGGGGTACAGTGCGTCATTTTGAAATCTGAGAACCACCTTCTATTTCCCAAGTACAGTTTAACAAGCGAAATAGACAGAAGCAAGCTACTGTGCAACCCCTGTGTATTATATGTTGTAAAAAGGTTATTTTCGTCTAGCACGTCACATTTGCCGAATCTAATATGTTAACCTTTGCCTTCCCTCCATTAGCAAAATCCTGGAACCTTAAATTATTAATTTTCTGAAAGAAGGACTTTTATAAGTTTTTGCCCTTGTTTAATAAAGTGACAAGGTTTGCTTTTATTAGGGTATCACCATGACATAAATCAGGAATTATGATATTCAGAACATTAGGAACTTTTACATATAAACTGTTCATACGATATTAATGAAAATCAAAAGGTTTCATCCTAGAAGTATTTCAAATGTACGAAATATTGTAACACGGTTATCACTGGATGTGGCCTCTAACGTGACACAACGAAGTGACCACAAACATGCATACCAATTACTTGCGATTTTTTTCACGAGTAACGAAAATCAAAAAATAAAAAATAATAAACCTACGTCTTTCTCGGCTTCCTTGAGGGCGGTGATGGTGGTGTCTGGGTCCTGGACCTCGGTTTTGTCAAGAGGAGTCACATAGCAAACCTTCTGCTTGGGGAAGATCATCACAGTCAGGTTCTGAAAAGGTTCTGAAAAGAGTTAAAATAGGCAAGTTTGTCAGCAAAAGAATTTCATCACTTTGTTATCTCTTGAATTGACAATGATATGTTCTTCGAATTTACCTTAGCATGGCTCTTGTTAGATTATGACAATTGGAGTCTTGTTTTACGGCAATACTTCAAACTTCAAACTTTCTTCAAATAGTGACTCTTAAATTATGACTCCAATCGTCATAATCTAACAATAAATAAAATATAGTATTCTCTTAGAGTATATTTTAGAAACAACAAAAGTAAAAATGTGAGTACTTATTCATTTATAACTTACACTGTTGTCATTGTTATCACTTTGGGTTCAGGAGAACTCAAAATAAAATAAATTCAACTTACGTTCTTGTAGTCATGGATGAATTCGGACTCGTTCACATGGTTCTGTTGAGGAACGTAGTAACTGACCAGTTTCCTGCCCTGGTCAACCTTGGCCTTTTTCTGGACCAAGACGCCTTCCTCATGGGTGTGAAGAATGAAATGCTGACAGAAAAGGTATTTATTTCATTATACATGTTCCTGAAGCATTTGCAGAAAGAGGAAAGGTATTGAGGGTAGAGCTTAAGTGTGCCTGCTTAAGACCAACGGAACCGATTTCTTTGGCAATGTTCATAAAACTGCCTGTATGCCTGTCGCGATGTAACATCTAAATCTCGCGTGATATTTTGTTTACATTTATGTCATATCTGTATAGATCTGTAATAAGGTTATTTACGCAGCTGAATTTTCCATTTGCAAGCGCGTAATCATGAGCTTAGCGTAGTATAGCTGACGCCCGAAGGAGGGCAGGAACGTCTCGATGGTGATTACTCACATGCTTTCCGGGGACTTGCTTCACCTTCATGGGTTTACCCTGGGCGTGCAGTGGTGGCACAGCAAACACCGCGACGACGCAAAGAGCAAGGACGATCAAAGTCTTCATCTGGAAATAAGGGAAACATTGTCTATATAATACATTCTTGATACAAATGATGGAATATTAAAAAAATATGGATATATTCATTATTTCAAAGTTCTCTGTGAAAATTGTCACAAAACCGTTTATCTAGCGGGTGTGACAGGAATGGAAATCCTAGAAATGGAAGTCCCTTATGTCCCATATGATTAGAATAAATTAGTATTTGTCAGAGTATTGGGATCAGAACATGGGATAAATGTCACCTGCACAATGTAATGGGGGCGGACTACGGTTCCTAGGGGACTACCATTCCTGTCACACCGGCTAAAGCATGGACCATTAAACAATTTTCAAGTTACATCAGTCGAAAACAAATTCTTCAAATATGCAAGTCAGTTGCTTAGAGTTCTGCTCTCTGTATAACAGGTTTGAATTATCACTTGGACTCTTGTGACGCAGTCCATGGTGTTTGCCGTTGCAAATAAATTTTGTTTGCAAGAAGCACTCTTGAAGGGTGGTAGGCCTAATGCCTGATCCTTAAGCCCGAAGAACTCCATGTTTTATCTCAAGATCGGAAAAGATTGAATTAAGGGACTTTAGACCATGAGGTCAGTACCGTTGTCCATGGTAGTGGTTCTGCCAAACTTTGGGTGGTCATTGCTTATGGAGGTGGAACCAATGGATGTTCCCCAGAGAAATCGTAGCTGCAGACGTATACATGCAAGTTCTGGTGTCACATGTTGTCATATTCCGCAACCAATTTTGGTCGTAAGGTTTTGTTGCAACATGACAATGCTCCAGCTGATCGTGCTCGCAGAACACAACAAATTGCTTAAAGTTCTCCGGCTTATTCTCTTGATTTGAATCCCATAGGGCACTGCTTGGATGCTCTAGTCCGTGCTGTGAAAAGGAGAAAGGTCCAGCTGACTACACTTGATAAGCTGAGTAAGGCTTTTGAAGAGAGGTGGGTTTAAATCAGCAAACGCTTTATCAAGAAGCTGCCAAAATTGGTTGATTCAGTACCTCGAAAAAGAGATGACGGCCCATGACGTCATCTGGTTTCATCATCTAGCTACGAGAGGCACTTACCCTGTTCACTACATATACAAGCGCACGGTCATCAAACATTAAAAGAAAAAAAAATTAAATAATGAAATTCTTAGAAAGAATTGTATATTACTTCGATGATTGGAGTACTGGTGCCTTGAAATGCCATTACTAATGTCCAAATATAAAACATGAATATGTCGGAATATTTAGTGTTAAATTAAAGGGTCCATTCACACATATATTTGGATCGATCTATCTCCACGGGGAGACTCACTAAATTGCTGTCAACTTATCCGGCTTAAATGTCTGTCACGCCTAGTAAAGCTGTTAGGGGGTAATTATCTTTATTCACTAGCTGATTCGCTAGGCGTGACAGACATGTAAGCCTATTAGTTGATAGCAATTTAGTGAGACTCCCCAGGGGGGTTAGACCGATCCAGATGGATCGATCTAGGCATGTGAACCCAGTCTAAACGCTCCTTTAAAAATTGTGTACAGCCACTACAAAAAAGTTTCCTACCTTGGCACTTCGTTAAGTCTTCTTAGTTTCACACTTGCAGTTGGGAATTTCAGTTAGTATTGACGTGGATCGAACGCAGAAGGTTTAAATATTTTTAATAGGGAAGAATTTTTCAACCAATTACGAGTGAGTCCGGGTTTCAACTCCAAGGTGCAGAAACACGATAAAATGTGGTTGGCAAGACATGTTGTCAACTCCCATTTGATTAAAAACGTTCTGTAGCCGCAAGTTTCCGTTATTGATCAAATAAAAGGAGTGGGATGGTTGAAAGTTGTCGGAAAATACGACACTTTAGCTGAAAATGGGGAAAAAATGGCCCTTTATGTTTGTGACAATCCTGTGAGCAAGGAAGCCAAAAGTTCAGCATCTTGTTAATTTTCTATTATTTTACAAAACCTTAGTCTGTGCAAAGGCCCATGGGTAACATATATGTAGGTAATTGGTGTTCCCGTTGTAGTTTAGTCGGTTACAAAATGAAAAAAAGAAAATTAGTTTTTTATATCGAGTCATGAAATTTTGGATTTTATCCCTTTCCCATTTCCAAAAGCGATTACACAATTTTGATCTACAAGCATATATGGGAATGGTGCCTTTCGTTCATGAGGATACGTATAACAAACTAAGAACTTAAGAGCGGGTTTGTAGATTGAAATATGTGATCAATTTTGGATAGGGTATATATTGATGACAGCGCAGTCAAATTACCGAAATGTGTAGGAAAATTGATTTTTTTGTTATATACCAGTAGCGGTCCAACGCGAATTACCAAAATGAAGAAGACACTGTCTGCAAAACTAAACGTTTTATTATTTGAAAAGAACAGGTCAAAATCAGGAATAACGACATTATTGTGCAATATAGTAGATCGCTATATAGTACTGTGCAATATAGTATTATCACAATCATTGGCTCATTTTGAAAGTAATGTCCAGATAACTACGGTAGTGTTTCTTTCCTAAACAATTAAGATTCATCGAAGAGGATATTTGAAGAAAAATACGTCTGAGTCTTTTATTTTTTTGGTTCCAAATTTACTGTCCACGGCATTTTGGATAGGAAGATTTTGGCAGTGTGGCAAGGGCGTCGCTGCATTTGACGTGACCGCCGGGAAATTTCATTGCTGGCACTGGAGGGTAGTACAGCTGGTGGTTCATGTCGCAGCATGGCTTGCACTGGTTGACGTTGACAAACTTGTGAACCTGGGGTGATAAACAATCGGAATAATTTTTAGAGAATGCATAAAATGTTGAAACATATTTTGCAATTTTTCAGTGCCATGAATCTGTGGAAATTCTGCCCGCTACAGCACTAGAATTTCACATCTCTATGGCCCGTTTGTTTACTTATATACAATTTTTAAAATCTGTTTAAGTCCTTGAAAAATGTATTATAACGACGTCTTCCGCCACGACGAGGTTCTGGAGTCTTCAATCATTTATTCACCACACACTTTTCATTCAATTTTATCCATATTTATACTCTAATTCTCCGTACTGATCACGGGGGTAATGAAGCAATTAAACGTAACAGTTAATTCATCAAAGGGTTACCTAAGAGGGAGATCATCTGTTTACTCCACCTTTAATTGGATATATACTTTGATCAGATTATTTTTAATTAAATTTTCTGTACTTCCATTTCTGAAATTTCCTGTACTTGTACTCCTTGAAAATAAAAATAATTACCTCTGCCAAGGATGTTATGTTTTCACCCCTGTTTGTCTGTTTATTTGTCGTCTGTCATCAACATAACTCAAAAAGTTATGGACCTATTTTGATGAAATCTTCAGGAACTGTCAGAAGTGGGCCAAGGAAGAGATGATTAATTTTTGGTGGTGATCCGGATCAATAATCAATAATAAAAAACTAAGTTATGGACCGATTTTGATGAAATTTTCAGTCACTGTCAGAAGTAGGCCAAGGAATAGATGATTAGTTTTTGGTAGTGATCCGGAAAATATCGAAAACTTATCGAAAACTTAGGGGTGAGACGGCATTGGATGGAGACTTTGCTGCCTTGGCGGGGGTCTGCACTCTCTGAGTGCTTTTCTAGTTTGTTTAATGGAATTAACATTCTCTATCCTCGAGTTGCATCATCACACTAGATTTGAATTTAATGCTCTTCACTTTATATTAGTACATAAATATATATTCTTCGTGGGGAATCGTCCGGGAGGGATTGTCGGGGGGGGAGGGGTAGATTGTCGAGGGGGGGGGGCTGTTGTCCTGATNTAAAAATAATTACCTCTGCCAAGGAGGTTATGTTTTCACCCCTGTTTGTCTGTTTATTTGTCGTCTGTCATCAACATAACTCAAAAAGTTATGGACCTATTTTGATGAAATCTTCAGGAACTGTCAGAAGTGGGCCAAGGAAGAGATGATTAATTTTTGGTGGTGATCCGGATCAATAATCAATAATAAAAAACTAAGTTATGGACCGATTTTGATGAAATTTTCAGGAAAAGTCAGAAGTAGGCCAAGGAATAGATGATTAGTTTTTGGTAGTGATCCGGAAAATATCGAAAACTTATCGAAAACTTAGGGGTGAGACGGCATTGGATGGAGACTTTGCTGCCTTGGCGGGGGTCTAGTTTGTTTAATGGAATTAACATTCTCTATCCTCGAGTTGCATCATCACACTAGATTTGAATTTAATGCTCTTCACTTTATATTAGTACATAAATATATATTCTTCGTGGGGAATCGTCCGGGAGGGATTGTCGGGGGGGGGGGCGTGTTGTCCTGATACCGAAAATCATACCTTAATGATTAAGAGCCAAATGTTGCAATTTCCAGGATAAAGTTTACATTTCTGCTATATAAGAGCCTTAAAGGCTGCTCGTGTGCCTTAAATTCTTTACAAAAAAATAAAAAAAGGTCTTCTGAACGTACCTGCTGTTTCTCGGTACAGTCTGGCACGATCTCGCCAAATTTGTTGGTGGCAGTCTGGCACATGACGATGNTGCTATATAAGAGCCTTAAAGGCTGCTCGTGTGCCTTAAATTCTTTACAAAAAAATAAAAAAAAGGTCTTCTGAACGTACCTGCTGTTTCTCGGTACAGTCTGGCACGATCTCGCCAAATTTGTTGGTGGCAGTCTGGCACATGACGATGTACTGGCAATGGCGGGTCCGGACAACACACTCTGGCTTCATGCACATGTGGCAGGAATCATCCTCAATTATGGTCATGGCGGCGGTTTCTCTCTTCTTACGGCTGCCGTCTGCAAACAGAATTGACAGAGGATAAAGTCAGAGACAAATGCATATATATATGATTTGTAGGATGTATCACATTTAAAGATGCTCAAGCTACAGCTGCCAATTACAAAAAAATGGCACTTGTATACAAATTGAAATGTAACAGATTTTGGTTAAAGAAAGGGGAGGCAAATATTCACATGGAATAGGCCACTCAACTCGACTGATTCCTTACGTAATCCCAGCAAATACTGAACGTTATTATAACGTAAAAGGTAAATCAACGTTATAGTAACGTTATAATAACGTTTTGTGTTTGTTGGAATTGTCTCAGTGCAGTGTCAACTGTATGATCACCTTTTTAGATATCAAAATATATAGTTTGGTTCTTACACATTTACTCGTATAATAACTGATTCCACCGGTACTGTCATACCTTTTTCGTCAACGCTAAAGCTCTCCATCATCTTCTTAGCTCTGATGGTGGCGAAGTTCCTGCACTTAGGGATGAGATCCTCTGGCAGGAGGCTGTCTGGCTTCTGTGGTGTTCCCTCAATGCTGTAGTCGCTAGTCTGAATGCCGGCAACTGACATATCACCCTAAAAAGAACATGGGCTGATAATCCACACTTCTAATTCCTTAAAACTTCTTAACACAGTTTTAAAATTGTCTATAAAGTTATTTTCAATGAGCATTTTGTTGCTTTTCAAAGCTACCTGGTGTTACCATAGAGTAGAAACTGTGTCAGTCTGAGACTTGTGAAAAGATTTGAAAAGATATTGATAAGAGATGGCACAGAGGTATATAATGTACACTTAATGTAAAACTAGAGATTTTTCGCTGTGAACCTCCAGATGTAGATGTAATACCTGGCGGATCGAGTCGAGATGAGAGAGGGTAACAGTCTTGCCCCCTTAGTTTCTTACTACCCTTTCCCTTTTCTTTCAAAAAATACAGTTTAAATGGCGAAAATAGACAATCTTTCAATCCCTGTGCCTTATTTTTTAAATAAAAATCTGTCTTTGGCCACAATTTTTCTATTTGTATAGAGACAAATGTGTTTATATCTTTGCCATTCCTCCTCCAGGCCATTCTTAAACAATCAATTCAAAACCAACAAACTGACAATAAACAGATAAATAAATAAATAAATAAAAAGTAAACCTACGTCTTTCTCGGCCGACTTGAGGGCGGTGACGGTGGTGTCTGGGTCCTGAACCTCGGTCTTGTCAAGAGGAGCCACATAGCAAGCCTTCTGCTTGGGGAAGATCATCACCAGCAGTTTCTGCACGAGGCAAAAATTAAGTTTGTCAGCAAAAGAATTTCATCAGCTGTGTTATATTCTCACGGTTATAACAACCGTATCTCCCCGAGAAAGTGTCTTATTAGACTCTGACGTATTGCATTGTTAATTGGAGTTTCGTTGTTGTTGGGAGAAACTATAATTGTTACTATACAATACATTTGTCAATATTAAATGAATAAAAAGTTGTATTGTTATATTTGACCAAAATAGGGCTTCGTTGTGACATGAATGAATTAATACAGATACCGACAATAACTATAGAAATTATATATATATATATATATATATATATATATAAAACAAAACAAACCTACAACATCAAAAATGATAATGCTGTGATTATTTATTCATTTACTCAACCATTCGTTATCACTTAGAATTCTCCCTTTTTTGGATTTACGAAAACTCCACATAAATAAATATATAAATAAATAAATAAATAAATAAATAAAAAGAAAGTTAAGGCTTACGTTCTTGAAGTCGTGGATAAATTCGGACTCGTCCACTTGGTTGTGTTGAGGGACGTAGAAACTGACCAGTTTCCTGCCCTGATCTACGTTGACCTTCTCTTGAACCAAGACGCCCTTCTCATGGGCGTGAACATTGAAATGCTGTCCAAAAAATAGACATGTGACTGTACATGTTGCTAACAGCATGTAGCTGTTCCTTAATCATTTAAAGAATAAAAAAGCTATAATTTAAGTTGGCCTGCGTTACAGAAACACTGAATATTATTTGGTAGTGTTAATAAAACACTGGAGCACAGAGAACGTAATGTCTCCTTTTCACAGTTTCACAATTTCCTTTCACAAGCGCGTAACCAAAGGTTTAGTATATCTGACAGCAACCAGGAACGTCTCAATGTCGATTACTTACCAGCCTTCCAGGGACTTGTTTCACTTTCAAGGGGTTGGCCTGGGCGTGTGGTGGTGGCACTGCGAACGCCGAGACAACAAAAATAGCAAGACCGATCATAGTCTTCATCTGGAATAAAAAAATAATGTACTGGGTACAGCTATTGCATTTTTATAATTTTGAAGCGATTGATCTTTGGTTTTAATTTTGGTACGCGCAAAGCTGCAAAACACAACAAGAAACTTAAGAAAGATTAACTTCTTACAAATAATATCAAGAAGGAATTACTCGCCAAATGCTTTGGTCATGAAGTAACGCGAAATGACCACATTGTTAATTATTGTATTAACATTGGCAATCCGTAAAATGAACTCTCCTTTTTACTTAAGCACATTTATGACGTTCAAATACACACACTAATATACCGGACTCTTTGCAAATACTTATTTTTAAATATATACGCCCATGACAAAAATGATCCCTACCTCGGCACTCTGTTATAAGTCTTCTTAGCTTTACACTTGTGTAGCAGTCGATAATTAGAGATCAATAGATGCCGTTAATAGAACTCCGAAGGTTTAAATATATACCTTGTATCAGGAAGACTTTTCAACCAACCAGATTCAAGTCCGGAATTCGTCACCAAGGTCATACTAGGTGACATGATAAATGCTGTTGGCATTGCGGTCTTTTTTCAGAGAATAGTGCCTGAATATCAGGAAGCTTAAAGTTTTGCGGAGTGGCGGTTCCATAGCCAATGAGGTTTATCCGAGGTGTGGTTATTGCTAGTTGAAAACTAAACTATAAAGTGCAGCACCATGTTGATCTTCTAAAGTTATATAATCGGTTAGTCTGCAATGACTTAATTACTGGACACGTGTACTAGTACTTGTACCTCCCTGTGTCTGGGCCGTTGATACAATCACAGGGGAAGCTGTTGTCTAGCTGGTTATAAAATTTGAAAGAGTGTTATAGATATTAATTATGTAATTGGAAAGTGTTATAGTGAGGAATGACGACAGCAGTTTGGAGCTTTCGAAACGTTTATTCACCGACTCTCTTCATACAACTTCACAAATATTTATACTCAATTTCTCCATACTGATCACGCATATACTTGTTTTCTTTTCCATTGTCTTTGCGTGATTACAAAATATTTACCATTCGCATGTTGCAAGTCACCATGCAACATTTCCTTATTAGGTAATCCCCAAGAGACTTGTTTTCAATTAAAGATATCTAAAATATTATTTGGATTACTCATGCTTGGACCTTATCCAAAACTCAGTTATTATGTGATAAATAGATGATCAAAATCAAAATATGTTATGAAATTAACCAATCACATTAACTGTTACTGACCTTGACCTTTTCCATCTTTTTCTGACACTAAAAACATGTTCTACATTTGTTGACTCTTGGTGAAACTTAACTTACACCCAATAACTCTTTGTCCTTTTATTCTTTTGATTCCGCTTTAATTGTTATCTGTTATTAGTGAAAGTGTAAGTAATTTGCTTTACAACAAAAGAATTAGATCTGCATTATAAAGTTAAATTTGCAAAGGAATGGATTTTTCTGAATATTTCAACATGTTTGCCTTCGCACACACACACACACACACACACACACACACACTAATAGATAAGGCCACATTTTTTTATTTTTATGGATGACATCCTCTGGTGACCCCAAAATCGGTGCAAGAGGGCGNAAAAAAAAAAAAAAAAAAAAAAACTGCTTAAGTAAAGGAATGCTGTCAGCACACAGCTGGAAACACAAATTTACCACAGGAATACGTATCAAACTAATAATATGTCTTTATTCATGCTCTCAAAATATTAAAACATTGTGAATACTTCGTAGAAAGGTAAAAAAAGTCATGAATGGATAAGCTGCATATCGCCAAATCTAGTTAAGGTTATTTTATGCATTTTGTTGGTATAGGCCTACCAATCAGTAAAACAAATATTAAACAAACAGTGTGTCTTTATTTGTGCTCTCAGAATATTAAAGCATTATGAACACTTCACAGAATTGTTAAAAAATCATGCAAAGATATGCTTAAGACTACCAAATCTATTAAAGGTCTTTCGGTAGTTGCCGTTTTGTCTACTTAGACTCGCACGAAGCAGCCAAACTGTCGGGTGGCCTGTCCGACCTTCAGTCCACCAAATACCTCGACGCCCTTGTCGACTTTTACGTGCTGCTTTGGACAGAATGTCACTGAAATTTCCGGGCTATAATCGCTGGCCGCCGCCAGCCTTTCGTATAATTGTAGAAAGGTGATATCTCCATGCCCAATATCAATGACATACCAATCCAAAACTACGGCCCGTCCTCTTTATGACTTTAATTGTCGTGTAATTTGACAGTAATCCTAGAGATGAATTTGAAGGCAAAGCCGCCATATTTCCACGTGGCGATAATACGCATGCGCAAAAAGCTCATTTTCCGGCAAATTCAATAACGACGTTTGAGACAACTGACTTCGTTGGGGGTGATTTTTTTTCCTGAGAACGGACGAAAATCGGTGCGCGTGCAGGATGTCATCCATAGAAATAAAAAAGTGTGGCCTAAATAAAAATAAGATAATAAAAAACGACATAATTACGTGACCCAAGTACCTCGCTGTATCAGAGTTGTTTGTACTCTCTGACCACAAGGGTCACTGTTGTCAGTTATGTTCAAAATTCAACAAAATTTACAATGTATATTGCAAAGTAGCAATATTAATGTACAGAACAAGGCTCTTGGTTTTATAACTTTTACGCACCCTCGTAATAGGCCTATATGTATATGCTCACCTAGCAAAAAAAGTGTCACCAGCACTGCAATGCGTAAAGTGATACAGAAAATCACGTCAGGAACCGATGTTATCTAATTCAACCTTTAATTTTTTTTTTTTTTTTTTTTTTTTTTTTTTTGCAAAATTATACTGATTGTACAACCAATAAGTTAACGATAGTAAAGAATCATAGGAGCGTACGTCCTCTGTGAAGTTTGGGTGCAGTGGAGGCCGTGGAAGTCGTATATGTATAGGAAAAGCCTCGTTTACAACCGGCCATACGGACTTCTACGACCTGTTTGTGCCCAAATTTTTGACAATTGTCAGAGCTTTACACGTTGAACAATCGACAATCGCTGGCAAAACTCGAGCGTCTACCGTGAGCACGCCTTTCATACTCCTGGCGTGGGGGTTAGGAACACCCCGTGTGTTCGATTATGTGCGTAAGTTATACGGGCGTTCCCCGTTCTCAACATACAAAGGGTACTTGTTACTTCATTGCTTGGCATGAGCGTCTTATTTAACGGTTTTTTTTTTTTACGGAACCTTAAAAATAGCACGCCTCACTTGCGAACTCCCTGCAAACTCCTTGCGAGGGGAACAAGGAACTGTACCCCTGCGGCTTCGTTGTTCGCCGAGAATTCTTAAAGTTTGTTAGGCATGCCCAACATCTTCTGTACATGCTTACGGGCTGTCTGCGAACTCTTAATGTCGAAAGAAGGACTTTCGTTGCCAGTGCGATTATGCACAAATGTCCCACTGGTTGAGACCGAGGCTTAATTCGCATATGTGAAATAGAAAATTTGTCATGTGGGAGCTTTTGAAATCTGCAGAACGTGTCCCAAAACATGACATCCATCAAATATTTTTGACAAAACTGTTCTAATCTTGCCCAAAAGGAAATCGTGTTCTCTTTTATTAACAGTGCAAATGAAAATGGGCTTCAGTACAGTAGGCGATTGTATGACGAGTTACTAGGCTGGTATTTCATTTGTTTTGTTTCCTCTTGGATCACACTTTTTATAAGTTTTTGGCTGAAATTAAGTTTTAATGATCTTTTCAAAGTAAAATAAAATTTAATTCCGGTGCGTTCATTAAAAAAACGAAGACGCTGTCTGCAAAACTAAACGTTTTATTATTTGAAAAGAACGGGTCAAAATCAGGAATGCCGACATTATTGTACAATAAAGTAGATCGCTAACGATGTACCATCACATTCATTGGCTTATTTTGAAAGTAATGTCCGAATAACTACCGTAGTGTTTTTTTTAATCAAAACAATTAAGATTCATCGAAGAGAATGGTTGAAAAATAGAAAGTCTGAGTCTTTTATTATTATTTATTTTTTGGTTCCAAATTTACTGTCCACGGCAGTTTGGATAGGAAGATTTGGCCTTGTTTGCCATCATTTTGCTGCAGACAATGTTTCCGCCGGGATATCCGATTTCTGGCATTGGTGGGAAATACACCTGGTGGTTCATGTCGCAGCATGGCTTACACTGGTTGACGTTGTAGAACTTGTGAACCTGGGATGATAAACAATACTTTTTAGAGCATGCATGAAATTTTAAAACGTATCTTGGAATTTATCAGTACCATTTGTGTTTATTTTAATAATTATTTTAATCAGTCCTGGATGGATATACTGAAGCCGTGCAATTAATCAGCGCCGTCCATTGAAAACCGTTTCCTTTTTTCGTAACGAATGGAATTCACCATGCAGTATCTATCTCAAAAAGTGACTCAAACCACTAGGTACTTGGGACTTTCTTTGAGAAGTTTTTAGATATGATAATCATATTTTAATGCTTAAGGCCAGATGTTGCAATTTCCAGGAACAATCCCAGCAGGCAAACGACATTGATTCTACGTTGATTCAGCGTTGATCCACCAAAATTAACGTTGATTCAACGGTGAATCAATGTCGTTTGTCTGCTGGGAATATAACATTTCTGCTATGCAAGTGCCCTAAAGGCTGATCGTGTACCTTTAAAATCTTTACAAAATGAATAAAAACGTCATCTTAACCTACCTCCTGTTTCTTGCTGCAGTCTGGCACGATCTCGCCAAATTTGTTGGTGGCAGTCTGGCACATAACGATGAACTGGCAATGGCGGGTCTGGACGACACACTCTGGCTTCATGCACATGTTGCAGGAATCATCCTCGATGATGGTCATGGCGGGGGTTTCTCTCTTCTTACGGCTGCCGTCTGCAAGCAGAATTGGCAGAAAATAGAGTCACAGACAAATGTGTGTGTATGCTTTTTTGCTGGGAGCACATACTTGGTGCTGTGCTCAACATACAGTGTACAGCGGTGAACAAAGTAAGGGTCATTTCATGCTGAATTAAAATGCCACAGGTTTTAAGGAGAAGGTGGGGATTATACACACAAAATGGGTCACTGGACTTGAACTGTTTCCATTCCTAATTGTCTACGCAGTGGCATCCCTGTTATAACTCCTTTTTTACATATCGAAATAAATAATTTCGTTCTTAAAAAACTAGATTGGGTCTTATAAAACTACATAACTGATTTCACCGGTACTGTCATACCTTTTTCGTCAACGCTGAAGCTCTCCATCATCTTCTTAGCTCTGAAGGTGGCGAAGTTTCTGCACTTGGGGATAAGGTCCTCTGGCAGGAGGCTGTCTGGCTTCTGTGGGGTTCCCTCAATGCTGTAGTCGCTGGTCTGAATGCCGGCAACTGGCATATCTCCCTAAAAGGAACATGGGCGGATACATCACATTTCTGATTTCTAAAACTTCTTTACACGGACAGGTAACTTGAAATTTATCTTTAAAGTTATTTTCAATGACCATTTGTTTTTGTTTTGAAAACTACCTGGTGGTGGGACAGAGCAGAAAATGTGATGATCTGCAACCTTTGAAAAAGTTTTTTAAAAGTTTTGATTAGAGATGGCTCAGAAGTACAATATGTACAAATTATGTATAACTAGAGATTTTTCGCTGAATACCGTTAGATGCAATGGCGGATCGAGTCGAATCCCACCACTTTAGTTTCTTACTACCCCTCCCTTTTTCTTTAAAAAAATACAGTGTTAAAGTCGAAAATTGACTCAATTTTTTCAATCCCTGTGCTAATATTTTATTTATAAAAATCTGTCCTTGTCCACGACTTTTTTTTAATTATCGAGTCAAATTAGTTTATCTCTATGCCATTCCTCCTCCACGCCATTCTGAAACAGTAAAAACAATACCAGCAAACTGTCGAAAAATAAATAAATAAATAAACAAATAAATAAATATAGACAGATAGATAGATAGATAGATAGATGAAAAATAAACCTACGTCCTTCTCGGCCTCCGTGAGGGCTGCGACGGTGGTGTCTGGGTCTTGGACCTCGGTCTTGTCAAGAGGAGCCACATAGCAAGCCTTCTGCTTGGGGAAGATCATCACCATCAGTTTCTAAAAGAAAAAATAATAAATAAAAAATTAGAAATAAATAAAAATGCAAGTTTGTGGACAAAAGAAATTCATCAGCTGTGAAACTGTTTTGATAGATACTGAAAAAATTGGAGAGGTAATTAGAGATTCCTTGTTGTTTAGAGAATGCATTATCGTAACTTTAAAATACATTTGTCATTATACCATGACTGACCGGTATTAACCTTAAATTATTGATACAAAGACAAAAAAAAAACAAAAAAAAAAAAAAACAAAAAAAAAACGCCATAGCTACAACAACAATAATACCATTGTTACTATTTATTCGTTTGCCCAGCCATAAGTTCACTTAGAACTACATGTATTGTGTGTGTATGTATTATTTTGGATTGGCAAGAACTCTTAATAAATAAATAACTAAATAAATAAATATATAAATAAATAAAATAAAAAGAAAGTTTAAACTTACGTTCTTGAAGTCATGGATGAATTCGGACTCGTCGACCTGGTTGTGTTGAGGGACATAGTAACTGATCAGTTTCCTGCCCTGGTCAACGTTGACCTTCTCCTGGACCAAGATGCCCTTCTCATGAGCGTGAACATTGAAATGCTATCGAGAAAAAAATATTTATTTGATTATGCACTTGCATGTGTTCCTTTATCATTTAAAGAAATAGAAAAGACATTGAATGTAGAGCCTTAGTTTGCCTGCTTAAAAAGGTGATAGATTGTTTTGGCAAAGGCAATAAATCACTGGACCAGGGTGAATGTTTATTTGTAGTATTTATGCCTGTCGTAAGATGTCAGCTAAATCTCAAGTGGTATTTTGTTTACATTATTGCCATATCTAAACTTATCTGTAATAAGGTCATTTACGCAGTTAAATTTCCTTTGTAAGCGCGTAACCAATGGCTTAGTAAAGCGGACTCCCGAAAGAGGGCAGTAACGTCTCGATGGTGATTACTCACGTGCTTTCCGGGGACTTGTTTCACCTTCATGGGTTTACCCTGGGCGTGCGGTGGTGGCACCGCGAACGCCGCGACGACACAAAGAGCAAGGACGATCAGAGTCTTCATCTGGAAATGAGGGAAAGATTGTCTGTATAATACTTAATGGACGATAACAATGTCTTTATCTTTATCTAATATCTAGTCTTAATCAATTAAAGGGATAATAACTCTTTGTTTTGGCCAAAAAATTAATTTTCCTGGAGTAAACAACAATTTTCCCATACTTACCAATGGTTAATGAATCCATTTTTACATTCAAAGTTAGTCCCTGTTTTTTTTTCTAAAAAGCTTGTTTTTTTTTTGTTATAATCTCTTAAGAGATTATAACAGAGTATAGCCACCACTGGAGGTCACGTGGTCTAAAGACAAGCTCAGATATCAGAATAATAGCTATAACTGCCGTTTTTGTGGTAAAACAGAATATATCATATTTCTATGAGTTGTTCACAATGTTTTTATTGTGAAATATACGAATATGTCATACGAAGAGTTATTATCCCTTTAAACGGTCCATCACATAATTAAGAAACAGGTTGGTTATTTCAGACACAAGTCCACCTTCTCATGGTGGACTTCCCCAATAACTCCATGTAATCAAGCTTTAACAGACATGGGCCTCCGGGGGGGGGGGGGATCAATGGGGTCACTTGACACCCCCTGGAATTTTGGCAGA